GAGGGGGACTGGGGGTTACCACAAGGGTAATGCAGCTTTGGCCTGCCTTGCTACCCGGCTCCTGCCCCAACAAATAACTGCTCTGACAATTTTCATTTTATTATGATTTATTTTTTTTGAGGCAAGGAGTCCCCCAGGCTGGAGTGCGAGTGGCGCCATTCGGCTTCCAACTGAAGCTCATCTCCCGGGTGACTGCAACCTCTGCCTCCCAGGTTCAAGCGATTCTCCTGCCTCAGCCTCCTGAGTAGCTGGGATTATAGGCGCCCGCCACCTCACCCAGCTATTTTTGTATTTTTATTAGAGACAGAGTTTCACCATGTTGGCCAGGCTGGTCTCAAACTCTGACCTTAGGTGATCCGCCTGCCTCGGCCTCCCAAAGCGCTGGGATTACTGACGTGAGCCACTGCACCTGGCCACGTTTGGTTTTCCCTTAGCCTAGAAACCTGCTCGCTGCTGACGGTGGGGTGCTCTGTGGTCCCATCTTCTAACACAGCTCTGTCTTCTCTGTGCGACGGCAGCTGCTGCGTTTGTTTGCCTGTTTTTGTGTGTCCAGGTCGACCCCACCTGGATCCGATCATCCACAACCCCAGGTTGCTGGAGCTGCCAGGGAGCCTCGTGCCAGTGCAGCCTGACCTGGGAACAGAGGCTGGGCCCAGCTGTGCCTCGGGGTTCACTGTGCCAACTCTCTGCTTCTGGGCCTGCCTTTCTCTTTCTTGGTTTTCTTCGTGGTGGTGTGGTTTGGAGAAGTCCTGCCTCCGGTTGTTTCCTGAGCCGGTCCTGGGAGGTAGCACGCTGGGGCCTTGCAGGTGTGAAATGTCTGTAGCCTCCCTCCGCCGAGGGGCAGCCTGGCCTCCCTGGTGTCACAGGTGCAGAGCCTGCCCTTGAACTGCAGCTTTTGTGTGACTGATCCTGTGTGTGCAATCGCCTTTGCTTGAGGTTTTAGGGTCTCTGCTCCCTCCCAGCTGCACTGGGCTGTGCTGGGGGCACTAGGGGCCTTTTTAGGCCTCGGGCTTGTGGCCTTCATGGTGGGGTCATCCTCTCGTGCTGTTAACTTCCCCATCATCGTCCCTTTCTGTTGCTCCTGTTAATCAGATGTTGGTCCTCCCAGATGAGGGGTCGGTCTTCTTTTTTTTGAGACAGTTTCACTCTTGTTGCCCAGGCTGGAGTATAGTGGTGTAGTCTTGGCTCACTGCAACCTGCATCTCCCAGGTTCAAGTGATTTTCCTGTCTCAGCCTTCTGAGTAGCTGGGATTACAGGTGCACGCCACCACACCCAGCTAATTTTTTGTATTTTTTTAGTAGGGATGGTGTTTCACCATGTTGGTCAGGCTGGTCTCGAACTTCTGACCGGGTGATCCACCCGCCTCGGCCTCCCAAAGTGCTGGGATTACAGGCATGAGCCACTGCGCCCGGCCCCTTGCTGGCGTTTGCATCCATGTGGAAGGGATGAAGCGTGCCCCATGGTCACAGCACCCCCTCCTGTGGTCTAGGGTCCCCACCTTCCTCCTGACCTGTTCTGTCTTGCAGTCCCCAGGCTTCTGTGTTGCTGTACCCCGCAGGGTCCTCCTGCTTCCCGAGCCTCCCCACTCCACATGGCCCCTGCCCAGCCCTCTCCATCCCTCTTGAAGGTGGTTCCACAGCCAGACACCGCCCCCTCCGGCCTCTCCTCTAGGGCTTGCTACCCACCCCCATCCCCTGCTTTCACTACCACCGATGTGCCCATGACGCCCCAGGCTGCCTCCCCACCTCTGTGGCCCCTGAGCCTGCACGGAGGAAAGGGTATTTTCTGGGCAAGGCACTGCCACCCCACAGGGTCCTCCCTCTCACCACATCCAGGACAGTGGACGCTGCTCCTACCTTTTCCTCACAGTCCTCGGGTCACCTGTCCACCTGCCCAGCTCTCGGGGGCCACCCCTCTCAGCCCCATCCAGCTCCCGAGCAGCTTTGTCCCCTGAGGGCCCTGGGTCGTTCCTCTGACCCATCAGGCTCAGTGCACCCTGCATGCGAGCCTGGGCGGACACTGCCTCCCTGAAGGCATCGCAGCGTGGGACGCTTGGCCTCCACCTGCAGGGGCCTCACCTCACCGGTCCCCAGCCTCAGGAGAGGGACCACCCCAGCAGCTGGAGCCCCAGTGGAGTTGGAGGGATGGTAGCATCTGTGTCCTGGGCTCCGGGGCCACCTCACTGTGAGGAGGGGGTGTAGGCATCGCGGGAGGTCTCACCTCAGGGCCATGCTGATCTTGGCTCTGAGAGCTGGTGTCCTCTGCTCCTCCCTTCCCATTTCTCAACAGGAGGCCCAGAGTTCTTGAAGACGCCCCTGGGGGGCAGCTTCTTGGTGTACGAGTCCTTCCTCTACCGGCGGGAGAAGGCAGCCGGGGAGAAGGTGTATTGGACCTGCCGGGACCAGGCCCGCATGGGCTGCCGCAGCCGCGCCATCACCCAGGGCCGGCGGGTCATGGTCATGCGCAGGCACTGCCACCCACCCGACCTGGGTGGCCTGGAGGCCCTGCGGCAGCGGGAGCACTTCCCCAACCTGGCACAGTGGGACAGTCCAGGTGCGTGCAGAGGGCGCTGGGCCAGGTGACCCTAGTCTCCCGGGACCCGTGCGCCACATGCTGGCTGCAGGCTGCCCGTGGGCTGCCGTGTGTGTTGCGCATGGGGGTCTGGCAGCCTGGGCCATAAACTCCCCAAGGGCAGGAGGCTCCCATCTGCAGGCTCTGAGCTCCTGCAGCTGGTCTTCAGGGCAACAGGGACTGGCTGTCAGGGGTAGGAACCCACTCAGCTCTCTCAAGAAAGGGGATGGCGGCCACAGGTAGCATTGGCACAGACTGCTTGGAATCTGCTGACGGGCCATACGGTGGATCCCGGACACTCTTAGTCTACCCCCCACGCCACCCACACAGCTTCTAGTCTCGTGGGGTTCTCTCCAGTCACAACATCATGTGACCTTTCAGTTCAGCTTGTTAAAAGTCAGAGGCCAGATGGCTGCCAGCTGGCTGAGGGGTAGGTGGACAGGGAGCCAGGAGGCCCTGGTGACCAGTCGAGAATGGCTCCTCCCCAGCCCTGGGAGATGCGCCTGCAAGCGTGAGGTCTGAGGGCTTGGGAGAGTCCTTCGGGAGTGTTCAGGGTCTAGTGGTTGCCAGGCCACCTGCCCAGGCATCACCAGAGCCCTTGGAAAGGGCCAGCCAGCGTGGAAGTCGGGGCTGGAGGGCCTGAGCTTCAGGCTTCAGGGCCCAGAGGGGAGGAGGGCAGTGTCCACCATGGGGCCTGCTAGGGGATTGCAGATTCCTGGTGGAGCCTGGCTTGGGGGACAAATTAGACCCCCAGCCCTGACACCCAGGCCCCTGTGGCCCTACTCACAGTGTCACTTTCCCTTTCAGAACCCCTCCCACCCCTGGAGTTCCTGAGGACTTCCCTGGGGGGCAGGTTCCTGGTGCACGAGTCCTTCCTCTATAGGAAGGAGAAGGCGGCCGGGGAGAAGGTGTACTGGATGTGCCGGGACCAGGCTCGGCTGGGCTGCCGCAGCCGCGCCATCACCCAGGGCCACCGCGTCATGGTCATGCGCAGCCACTGCCACCAGCCCGACCTGGCAGGCCTGGAGGCCTTGAGGCAAAAGGAGCGGCTCCCCAGCACGGCCCAGCAGGAGGATCCAGGTACAGACAGGGTGTGGGGCAGAGGCAGGGGTGTGGGTATCCTCATCTCTGCCAGCTCAGAACTGATGCCCCAGGCCAGGCACCCACTGAGGAGACTTTGCTTTTGTGCACACACCAATTATTCACATCAACAGAATGTAAAACCAGTCTTTTTTTTTTTTTTTTTTTTTGAGTTGGAGTTTTGCTCTTGTTACCCAGGCTGGAGTGCAATGGAGCGGTCTCAGCTCACTGCAACCTCCGCCTCCTGGGTTCAAGCGATTCTCCTGCCTCAGCCTCCCAAGTAGCTGGGATTACAGGCATGCACCACCACACCCAGCCAAAACCAATCTTTAGAAAGCATTGTGTGTCTCACTGTCATTCATGTGAATATTAAGGGCCATGCCCTGTAAAACAGTAACAAATCCAAGTTGGCCAGGCACAGTGACTCACGCCTGTAATCCCAGCACTTTGGGAGGCTGAGGCAGGTGGATCACCTGAGGTCAGGAGTTGGAGACCAGCCTCATCACCATGGAGAAACCCCATCTCTACTAAAAATACAAAATTAGCTGGGCATGGTGGCACACACCTGTAATCCCAGCTGCTTGGGAGGCCGAGGCAGAGGAATTGCTTGAACCTGGGAGGCAGAGGCTGCGTTGAGCCAAGATCGCACCACTGCACTCCAGTCTGGACAACAGGAGTGAAACTCCATCTCAAAAAAAAAAAAAAAAGAGAAGAAAACAGCCTGGCTAACATGGTGAAACCTTGTCTCTAAAAAAAGCTTATAAATCAGCTGGGCGTAGTGGTGCATGCTTGTGGTCTGAGCTCCTCAGAAAAGGGGAGGATCACCCGAGCCCGGGAGGTTGAGGCTGCAGTGAGCCATGCACTGCAATCCAGCCTGTGTGACACAACAAGACCCCATCTTTACAAAAATTTTTTTGAAAAAAGGGCTTCTTTGAGAAAGCCACTAAATGAGCTTAAACAAAAAGTTGTGCTGGAGGCCTGGCCTCTCATCTTTGATGTCTAGTTGACCCCCAGTACTTTCCATGACAGCAGCTGAAGATCGACTCTTAGGGGCTCCAGTAGCTCATGTTACTATAGAAGGTAATTGATGCGTTGAATTCCCACTGGTTGTCTTTCTCCTCACAGCCTTGAGAGCATCGTTAAGAAGGTGTGCGTCCTTGGTTCTGTCAGCTTCAACAAGAGAAGAATTATTAATTAATGTTTTCAATTTTTTTTTCCCCAGAAAAGATTCAAGTTCAGCTGTGTTTCAAGACGTGTCCTCCCGAAAGCCAGCCGATGTATGGGTAATTGTATTAGTTATCTAATGGTGCGTGACCAATTACAGCAAAACGTAGTGGGCTTAAAACAACAAATATTTGCTGTCTCGGCTTTTGTGGGTCAACATCATGGGAGTGGTTGGGCTGGGTGGTTCTGACTCCTGAGGTTGAAGAGAATTTGTCAGGCAGTCATCTGAAGGCCCAAGTGAGGCTGGAGGCCCTGTTCCTCACCATGGGAACCCCTCCTTGGGCCCACTTGAGCATCCTTCACATGACAGACATGGGACAGAGAGAGAACAAGAGGGAAGCTGCCAGCAGCAGAATTCAGGTTCTTCTCAACCACAGCCAGGCCATAAAGCAAGAGTCCTTTTTTTTTTTGGAGATAGACTCTCTCTGTTGCCCAGGCTGGAGTACAGTGGCATGATCTCAGCTCACTGCAAACTCTACCCTCCAGGTTCAAGCAATTCTCCTGCCTTAGCCCCCTGAGTAGCTGGGATTACAGGCATGTACCACCACGCCCAGCTAATTTTTGTATTTTTAGTAGAAATAGGGTTTCATCATGGTGGCCAGGCTGAGTCTCAAACTCCTGACCTCAAATGATCCGCCTGTCTCGGGTCTCCCAAGTGCTGGGATTACAGGCAAGAGCCATTGCGCCCAGCCTTGTTATTGATTTGGAATTACATCCCACTGTGGTCAAAGAACATACTTTGTATGATTTCATTCCTTTCAGGCCTAGACTCAGTGGCTCATACCTGTAATCCCAGCACTTTGGGAGGCCAAGGCAGGCGAATCATTTGAGGTCAGGAGTTCGAGACCAGCCTGGCCAACATGGTAAAACCCCATCTCTACTAAAAATACAAAAATTAGCCAGGCGTGGTGGTACATGCCTATAATCCCAGCTATTCAGGAGGCAGAGGTTGCAGTGAGCCAAGATTGTGCCACTGCACTCCAGCCTGGGTAACAAAAACCAAATCAAAAGCAGAAAAATTTGAGAAACTCATAAATATGAAGAAATTAACACACTCATAAGAAACCAGTGAGTGAGACTGGGCACGGTGGCTCATGCCTGTAATCTCAACACTCTGGGAGGCGGAGGCAGGAGGATCACTTGAGCCCAGGAGTTCGAAATCAGTTGGGGCAACAGAGCATGATGCTGTGTGTAATTTTAAACAAACAGTGAGCCAAAGAAGATAATTATAAAATACTTTGAAATAAATGAAAATGGAGACACAACATAACAAAACTTATGGGATGCACTGAAAGTCATGCTTAGAGGGAAATCTATAGTGAAAGGAAGAAGCCGGCCAGGCGCGGTGGCTCACCCCTGTAATCCCAGCACTTTGGGAGGCCAAGGTGGGCGGATCATGAGGTCAGGAGATCGAGACCATCCTGGCTAACACGGTGAAACCTCGTCTCCACTAAAAAATACAAAAAGAAAAAAAAATTAGCCGGGCGTGGTGGCAGGTGCCTATAGTCCCAGCTACTCCGGAGGCTGAGGCAGGAGAATGGCGTGAACCCAGGAGGTGGAGCTTGCAGTGACCCAGCTGAGATCGCACCACTGCACTACAGCCTGGGTGACAGAGCTAGACTCCGTCTCAAAAAAAAAAAAAAAAAAGAAGAAGCCTGGGCAACATGGTGAGACCTTGTCTCTACCAAAAAATCAGCCATACGTGGTAGCCTTGCTGGGAGGATCGCTTGAACCTGGGAGGTCGAGGCTGCAGTGAAGTGTGATCGTACCCCTGCACTCCAGCCTGAGAGACAGAGCAAGATCCTGTCTCTAAATGAATAAACAGGGCCAAGCACAGTGGCTCACACCTGTAATCCTAGCATTTTGGGTGGCTAGGGTGGGAGAATCGCTTGAACCCAGGAGTTCCATACTAGCATGGGCAAGACCTCATCTCCACAAAAAATATAAAAAAGAACTAAAAGACCAGGTGTGGTGGCTCACACCTCTAATCCCAGCATTTTGGGAGGCCTAGGCAGGTGGATCATGAGGCCAGGAGTTCGAGAACAGCCTGACCAACATGGGGAAACCCCACCTCTACTAAAAATACAAAAATTAGCCAGGCTTGGTGGTGGGTGCCTGTAGCAGGAGAATAGCTTGAACCCGGGAGGTAGAGGTTGCAGTGAGCCGAGACTGCAACACTGCACGCCAGCCTGGGCAACAGAGCAAGACTCGTCTCAAAAAAAATAAATAAATAAAATAAAAGAACTAAAGTAGAAGGAAGGAAATAAAAAGTAAATAAAACCAAAAGTTGGTTCTGTATAAGGATCAATAAAATTGACAAATATTTAGCTTTACCTAAAGATCAAAAAAATTGAAGAGCAAGAATACTGAAAATACTAAAATCGGGAATAAAGATGAGACCTTACTATGGACCTCATTCTGACAGTCTCACTCTGACACCCAGGCTGGAGTGCAGTAGCACCATCTCAGCTCACTGCAACCTCACCCTCCTGAGTAGCTGGGACTACACATACGCACCACCACGCCTGGCTAATTTTTCTATTTTTAGTAGAAACGGGGTTTTGCCATGTTGTGCAGGCTGGTCTCCAACTCCTGGGCTCAATCAATCCACCTGCCTTGGCCTCCCGAAGTGCTGGAATTACAAACATGAGCCACAATGCCTGGCCCCAGCTCATTCTGTAAGACCAATATCACCCTGATACCAAAACCAAGCAGAGAAACACAAAGAGAAAACCACAGCCCAGTATTTCTCCAGAACATAGAATACCAGCAAACAGAATCCAGCAACATAAAGAAGAATTCTATACCATGACTCAGTAAGATTTCTCCCAGGAATGCATTAACATGAAAAACCAATTAATGTAACACAGTATCTGTACAGATCAGCCTTAACACGGCAGGCCCAAGACTGCTGCCCTAAGAACAGCCTGTGTGCAAGGTTCACCCTGGGCTGGCATCTGGTAACTTTTTTTTTTTTTTTTTTGAGATGGAATCTTGCTCTGTCGCCCAGGCTGGAGTGCAGTGGTGTGATCTCCACTCACTGCAAGATCACAGTGAGTGATCAGCCTCCCGAGTAGCTGGGATTACAGGTGCACACTACCACACCCAGCTAATTTTTGTATTTTTAGTGGAGACGGGGTTTCGCCATGTTGGCCAGGCTGGTCACGAACTCCTAACGTCACGTGATCTGCCTGCCTCAAACTCCTGAAGTGCTGGGATTATAGGCGTGAGCCACCATGCCCAGCTGGCATCTGGGAACTTGACCAGTAGAGTTCCTGCGTGAATACAATGCTATCCCCAAATAACAATTGCTCACTCTTTTCTGTACAAATCATGTGATATTTGCTGAACACTTTTCTTCTGAGCCTGGAATTTCGGTGCCATATTCACCCAGGCACAACGTACCTACATGACCAACCCCCAGAAAAACCCTGGCCTCCTAGGCTCAGGCAGGCTTCCCTGGTACAGAACACTTTGCACATGTCACAGCTCGAGGCTGGAGGATTCAGCACATTCTGCGGAACTCTGGGAGAGAGGACCCCAGGGGAGGGGGCTACGGGGGAGAGGACTTGGGGGGCTTGTACCTGGTTTCCTCCGGCCCTCACCCCAAGTGCATTTTCCTGTTGCTAATTCCACATCGCATCTTTTCACTGTAGTAAATCTCAGCCACGAGCATGACGGTAGACCAAGTCCTGTGAGTTCTTCGAGTGCAGTCACCAAGACTAGTGTGTGGTGGGGATGCCTGCACACCAGATCAGTAGAGAAAAGGACAAAAACCATGTGACAACGTCCAGCACCCTTTCATGATAAAAACATTCAACAAACTAGGAATAAAAGGAGATTCTTCAACCTGAGCAAGAGCATCTGTAAAAACCCCAAAAGCAGGCCAGGCGCGGGGGCTCACAGCTGTAATCCCAGCACTTTGGGAGGCCAAGGCGGGCAGATCACCTGAGGTCAGGAGTTCGAGACCAGCCTGGCCAACATAGTGAAACTGTCTCTACTAAAAATACAAAAAATTAGCCAGACGTGATGGCAGGCACCTATAGTCCCAGCTACTCGGGAGGCTGAGGCAGGAGCATCCCTTGAACCCGGGAGGTGGAGGTTGCAGTGAGCCAAGATCACGACACTGCACTCCAGCCTGGGGGACAGAGCAAGCCCCCCCCCACCGCTGAAAAAAAAGAAAAAACAAACAAAAAGACTAGCCTGAGCAACATAGTGAGATGCCGTTTCTACAAAACATTTAAAAATTAGCTATGTGTGGTGCTGCATGCCCAGCCACTTGGAAGGCTGAGATGGAAGGGTCACCTGAGCCTGGGAGGTTGAGGCTGCAGTGAGCTGTGATCATGCAGCTACACTCCAGCCTTGGGGACAGAGACAGAACCTGTCTCAAAAATAAAAGTAGAGCATGGCGGATCACAGGCGTGAGCACTTTGGGAGGCTGAGGCAGGTGGATCACCTGAGGTCAGGAATTCGAGACCAGCCTGGGAACATGGAGAAACCCGTCTCTACTAAAAATACAATAGCTAGGCGTGGTGGCATGCACCTGTAATCCCAGCTACTTGGGAGGCTGAGTCAGGAGAATCACTTAAACCTGGCAGGTGGAGGTTGCAGTAAGCTGAGATTGTGCCATTGCACTCCAGCCTGGGCAACAAGAGCAAAACTCCGTCTCAAAAAAGAGATCACATACAATTATGTATAGTACATAATATTTGATAATGATAATAAATGACTATGTTACTAGATTATATATTTACTATACTTTTTATCATTACTTTAGAATATACTCCTATTTAAAAAGTCAACTATAGGTCAGCCACGGCGTTGGCTCACACCTGTAATCCCAGCACTTTGGGAGGCCGAGGCAGGCAGATCACCTGAGGGCAGGAGTTCAATCAAAGACCAAAGCATAAGGGAAAACTGGGGTGGGAAAAACCCATTACAATTTCTACTAAAAATAAAAATTAGCACAGGCATGAGGTGGTCAAG